CTACTTTGTAACAGAAGATTTGACGGACAATTGGCCCTTCCACTTCTAAGTATTCGATGAATTTTGAGAAAGTTCTTCCTAGTACTCCTTTACGGTTCATACGCTTGAGGATACAATGCAGGAATTTTGTGGGACATAAGTTTGTTCTTGAACCGATAATCTTTGCTGTGAAAGTGTGAATCCAGCCCTTGAACTAACTTTTTGGGTCGATCAACAATAATTATGTTATTACATTAAATTATAAATTTATAATATCATAATATATAATTTTTTTATTTTAATTATATAATAAAAAATAATTCTATTTTATACTTTATTCTATCTTATTTTATTTTACTTGTATATTATATTACTTAAATTCAAAATTATATTGTTTTTAACAAAAGAAAATTATTACTATATTAATAAAAAATTATAAAATTAACTAACGGTAGAGGAAAACGAAGTAGAAAAGATCGTCACCAATCCGGCCATCTAGCATTTGCTAAGATTTTTATAATTAGTTTAATTAATACCACAATAAGTAGCTCAAGAAAATTTCAAATGCCCCAAAACTACTATAAACTCTTATTTTAAAGAGGCAAAACTCGATGCGAAGTCCGTAAACTTATCTTAAATTTTTAATTAAATCCTTAAATTTTTGTTAAAGTAAATGAACCTTTAAATTTGATGGTTTGGATCATTTAATCATTTTCTTTATGATAGACTTGATATCTATTTGTATGTTACTTGTTGGGATAAAATATTGATATGTCATCACCTATGAGGAGGGTATTGATCTTATCCATGTAAATAAGGTATGAACAAATGTTAATTTTGTTGCCAAAAAAAAAAAAGTTAAGTTGCCCAAATTATCAAATTCAAGAACTTATTTACTTTAATAGAAGTGTAGGAGTTTAACCAAGATTTTAGGATAAATTTGGTGGTTTAATGTAGAGTTTTGCCTTTTAAAAATAAATACAAATCGAATACCTCTAAGGATTGAATTTATTAATAAACAAATATTATTTTACAAATTAGATTCATATTTAAGTCTTGGGGTTAACCCTTAAAAATATTAATTTACTTGAATACACTAAACTAATATAAAGAATGTGCTTTTAAAGTTATTTGAGAGAAAATAGTTTTAAAGTGTCTAAAAATTATTTCAAGAACATACATTGGCTATAAATAATAGTAATAATAAATAAATAAATAAACTAACTACAAAATGACGGATAAAACCCCACCATTCCCTCCTGCGGACGTAAAAGCTAGCAGGGCCAATAATATAGATGAAAACTTCATGGTTTTTAGATCCAAATATTCCTGATAATGATCATGTTCAAAAAAAAAAAAAAAAATTCCTGATAATGATCAATCTGACTAAAAAGGGAACGATTTTTTTAAAGAAGTACCTTAAGCTTAAGGGTACTTTGTTTTTCTTAAATTTATATGAAAATATAAAATTAATATTAATTTTAATAAAATTATTATGTGAATAAATTTAATAAATAATTAAAAATAAATTTTTATTCTTTTAAAATTTTAACCTATGTCATAATAAAGATAGGGAATAAAAGGAACCCTGAACCTAAGTAGGAATAATATCTCGATTAGATACTTACGAAAGTTTCATTTTAAGGGCTTAATTGTCACAAAAATTAGTAGGAACTAGGAAAATTCGATTTTATTACCAAAATCGAGTTAGTACAGGGGCCATATTAGATGGTTCAAAAGAAAATCTAAAAGCACAAAACAGTCTCTGATCCAACGGTGAAAAACTAGGTTGCATCCGACGAACCAGAGTACGACTAGCAGACAACCGCAACTCGATATTTAACGGAGGTTATTATTTTACATTAAGCAGGCTCCAACCTCATCTTCCACCACCTGCTCTCCCTGTTTCACTTCTGCGACAAACCTCACCTGAATCGCTTCCTCCGCCCTCTCGACAGAGCAAAGCTACCGCCGACTGAGGCTTCCTTTTGTGGAGAAGAGAGGTTCGTCTTTGTCTCTTAATTTTTTTTCAGATAACTTTTCTTTTTTTTACTTGATTTTATTCCTTTCTTGTGTTGCTGAAAACCGAATGTCAATCCTTTTGCCTATCGAAACACTGCAAAACCTCGCGAAAACTGTCCTTGTCTTTGTGTACGTGTTTATTTTTGCAAGTTTTCGTGGTTTTTGTTAGGTAAAGAATACCGGTGGTTGGAGAATTGGGTTCAGGTGCTTAGCATTTAGAAATCTGATTCTGTTGTGTTTTGGAGTTAATTTGTATTTGATTATGTTTTTGTTGCGGGAAGCAAGAAAAGTGTTTTGTTTGGTGGTTAGAGAGAGTTCTAGGTATTAGAGAAATGCGTTGGGGATTTGGTGTATTGGGCTTTTGTTAAGATGAACACTTTGTAATGGGTTTTCTGATTTTAGAAGAATAGGAATGTGGTAATGCCAAGGAAAATGAGTTCAGTTGATGTCAGATTTTTAGAGCTATAATGTGATGGAAAGGAGTTCTGGGATGGAGGGTGTGGAGGAAGAAGGGGAGAATTTCAAAGTACAAATTAGAAATGGAATGGAACTCCATTGAATGGAAAAAAGATTCATTAGTCTTCAAGTTCACCTAACCTTTTGAAAAGGAGTTCACCTAACTTTGCAGCCTGCCAATTATAGTTTGATTCTAAACAATATACTTGGCAATTCAAGAACTTGATTGGAAATGGTTTCTTCTAATGAAAGAGAAGATTAACTAGGTTGTTGGGCTGCTAACTTTTGATTGTTAGGTTGTGTGGTGTGAATGGTGGAGAGCTTTCCGAGTAAATGTAGGCATTGTCATGGTGAGGAAAAATGTCTTTTTGTCCTTACATTGAATTGTGATACCTTTTAGCTATGTGTCCACTGTCTGCTGAGAAGTGACTTTAAATCTGGATTTTGTATATATCATGAATGAGCATTAAGACTTTCAAGATTAAAAATGATTGAGTGGTTTTAACTTTTTATTCTTGTTGTACTTTATAGTAGTTTAGAATTGTGTTGAATTTTGATAATGACCAAGATGGTAGGTATTTCATCCTTTGGCATCACTTCACTTGCTGTTGTCATCATTAATATCTTGTGAGGTTATTGTTTTTGAGCAAATAATTTGTTAGTCTTACGTCATTTTAATGATGTAACTAATCAATTCCAGATTCTGCCAAGTTTAATACTTTTGCTTATTTCCTTTTACTGTAAGATATAGTTAATGAAGGTTTATGTTTTTCAGCCTTAAAAGATATTCCAGTTTAAACTTCTTAACAGGCTCCTCTTGTCTTGTCAAAGCTATAGTGGATGGCCATTATATCTTGTGGAAGTATATGGGTAGCACAATGGGGTATTCATCCTCAGTTTACGTCAAGATCTTATGTCCCAAACAGACTGACAACAGCTCAATCTGTGTGAGTTACTATTTGTCACTTATTTAGAATAGAAGTGAAGGTGCTGAATTCATTGGATTGTCTTCATGTATTTACTTCTAGAGATTAGATGATTTCTCAGATATGTCATCTTCATGGCACTGTGCTCTACCAGCATGTCTTGTTGAATGAATTTTAGTTTTAGCTAGTTGAGGATGCTTTGAACCCTTAGAGCTCCTTTGAGCAAACATGAGTCAGTTTTAGTTCTTATAAAGTTTTCAAAGAACTCTAGAGGAACATGAGGTAACAAAAGGAAACACAGCCAGTTCTAAAAAGTGAGCAATCATCGTTGATAAACACACTCTGTGGTTAATTAATAAGCAAAAGATTGCATAAAATATCACAGGAAGTCTACTTTAGTTTAAATATCCCTGCTGTTTCTCAACTCTTAAATTAAAAATTTGTGTAATCTTTTTGGGTTGACATTGACATTAAAACCTAGATTATATGCTATTTATGATCTTCAAATTTAGCATCTATGGATGGACCGTTAAATATTCATATCCTTGAGATTTCTTAACTGTTAGATTTTAAATTTCTATAATCTTTTTGGGTTGACATTGACATTAAATCCTGGATTATATTGTATTTATGATCTTCAAATTTAACATCTATGGATGTACCATTAAATATTCATATTTCTTTCTCAGTGCCACAAGTAGAATAAGCTTTTTGGGCCCAAGAAGTTCAAGCTTATTTTCACGCGATTCCTTACCTTTGTTATCCTATGCGGGATCATCTCAAACATCAAATGGACATAGGGCAGCACGTTTCACTGTTAGAGCTGATTCTGTGAGTAAAAGCATTAGCTTTCTCTCTCTCATTTGATGAAAATGGATGCTAAAATGGTTGTTCTATTATTTGATGTTTCTTAAATTTGTAAGGTAATGCTTATTTGTTTTGGAGTAATTTCTATCTTCATTTGCAGTTTCATTCTCCAATAGTCCAACTAATGTCCTAACGTTTTCTAATGAGCAGGATTATTATGCTGTCCTTGGGGTGTCCAAAAATGCAAGCAAATCTGAAATTAAGAGTGGTATGTGGACATACTTGTTTGGTGGGCTATTTAATTCTATATGATGATTTAGAGAGTTGTAAATGTTCCGAACCTGCAAAATTTTTGTTTGCTAGACCAAATAATGTTTTCTTAAAGTGGAGATTTTAATGGTACAAGCTCAAGGACTTAAATGGAACTGTTTCAAAAGACAAGATTATTGTTTTGCTTTTTAATATTTTAATTAGATATTGGAAATGAATGATGGAAAGCATCAGTGCATTCTATTAAGTGATAGATTATGAGTTAAATTGAATTGTAAGCATCTTTGATTCATAAAATATTCTCTTTTTTTATGTTAAGTATAACTTGGGCCAAAAAAGGAAAATGGTAAGAATAAGAATTGTGAAACTTATTCCTTTCTATTTAAAGTGTATCGTAAATCTTCTTAACATATCTTACTATTTAAACCCTTTTTTTCAGCTTATCGGAAGCTTGCTCGGAGTTATCATCCAGATGTGAACAAGTTAGTTCTTTTATATCATTTTCTCCTAAACCTTGTGCATTTTTCCTTTTAGTTTAGTTGGCTGTCCAGTGTCTATCATAATTGTGCTATCATTGTGAACAAGTGAGTTCCTTTATATTATTTTCTCCTAAACCTTGCACAGTTTTCCTTTTAGTTTAGTCGGCTGTCTAGTGTCTATTATGATTGTGCTATCATTCTGGTCTACTGTGCCTCTAATTAGCAAATGTATATGTAAGGTGCTTCTTTATTTTAGCCTCAAGATCTCCATATTGCATACTTAACGTAGGAACTCAGCTACAACTAACACCAATCCTCCCCTTTTCCCCCAAACTAAGGCATAGATACATTTGTTGCTTAGATGGGATAAGTGAGAATTTGATAAATAATTGGCAATCATCTGGATTGTTTTATATAATGCTTATCCCATGATTGAGTTAGGAATTGGTAGATTTCTCAAATTGGAAATCATGTTATGAGGAACAAAGTAATGGCAACGTGCAATAAAAAAATGAATGATATTCTTTTATTTAAAGAAAAGTAGTAGAATGACTGATTTTTTAGGATTGACACAGCCTAGGGACTCTGATTGCTCCAAGGATTTCAATTTTTAAACAACTAAGGTGGTCAGAAGAATGGCTTTTCTAATATGGGCAGGTTAAAATAAGAAGAGCAGCTTCCCTTTTATGGCAGGATGTTATATAAGTTCTGCAGTTTCTGTAGGTGTCCTAGCTATGGTCTTGTTTTGAGTAGAAAGAATTGCCTCTGAAAGAGTCAGATCGGTGTTCCTATAAAACTAAAATCCTAAAAAGGACTTAAAGTCAAGTGAATTTGTTCCCAATACCTTTACTGGAACTTACTGTAATGGTTAGAAGATGGTGGAGGATGCATAACCTCAGTTGAGTTTGTAGTCAAAATATATCTATATCTGTTTGCTGCGGAGAGAGTATAGATAACTATAGGTTTAGAATCCAGACTAAGGTGTTTCTCTTCCCAATGTGTTTGGAATAGCATCTTTTCTCCTGTTTTGCTAGTTACATTATATTCATTGGTCCAGATATCGCTTATTTTCATCAGCTTTCTTTCTAATCACCTATTTTGCTTTGTAGAGAGCCTGGGGCAGAGCAAAAGTTCAAGGAAATCAGCAATGCATATGAGGTAAGACTTTTGTTCTATGACCGACTAGGCTGTAGCGGTTTCTGTTGTTGTGCCTGTAGATTAATCTTTGGGGCATAATGTGATCTACAGGTGTTATCAGATGATGAGAAACGATCTCTATATGATAGGTATGGAGAAGCTGGACTTAAGGGTGCTGGTATGGGCATGGGGGTAAGTTATACCTGTAAGATTTAATGAATATGATTACTCGGTTTAGAACTATTATTCTTTTAGAAGCCTCAACTTTTCATGTCTGGCTTGTCAATTGTACCAGGATTTCAGCAATCCTTTTGATCTGTTTGAGTCACTGTTTGAGGGCATGGGTGGCATGGGTGGCATGGGCATGGGTGGCCGAAGTTCCAGGAACAGAGCAGTTGATGGTCAAGATGAATATTACAATCTTGTCTTGAATTTCAAGGAAGCTGTTTTTGGAGTTGAGAAAGAGATTGAGATATCCCGACTTGAGAGTTGTGGAACTTGTAATGGCTCAGGTGCAAAACCAGGCACTAAACCAACCATCTGTAGTACATGTGGCGGGCAAGGTCAGGTAGTCTCCTCAGCAAGAACTCCATTGGGTGTTTTCCAGCAAGTAATGACATGCTCCTCTTGTGGCGGCACAGGGGAAATTTCAACCCCTTGCAATACATGTTCTGGGGATGGAAGGGTGAGGAGAACAAAGCGGATTAGTTTGAAAGTTCCAGCTGGGGTTGACTCTGGTAGCCGTTTAAGGGTCCGCTCTGAAGGTAATGCTGGAAGGAAAGGTGGATCCCCTGGTGATCTTTTCGTTGTTATTGAAGTTATCCCAGACCCTGTACTAAAACGTGATGATACCAACATATTATATACCTGCAAAGTGTCATACATAGATGCAATTTTGGGGACAACAATTAAGGTTCCAACAGTGGATGGCATGGTTGATTTGAAGATACCAGCAGGGACCCAGCCGAACACCACACTTGTAATGGCTAAGAAAGGAGTTCCTGTTCTAAATAAAAGCAATATGAGGGGCAATCAGTTGGTCCGTGTACAAATCGAAATTCCAAAAAGATTGAGCAGCGAAGAGAGAAAACTCATTGAGGAGCTTGCTGATTTAAGTAAAGGCACGGCAGCAAGGAGTAGGAGATAGCAGCTGGGCAATGTCTTTATCCATCAGTTAGGTTTTATGCACCCTTTCTGGAAAATGTATTTGTAATTCTACCCCCAAGTGGATGGTACAAGGGAATTACAGGGCCTGCAGAGAATTGATCAGTTCTGAAGCAGTGGAACTGTTGCAAAGACAAGTGGAGATCTGTAGCCTAAAGGTAAAATTATATTTCGATAAAATTTTGTTCCCTACAAAGAAAACTTTATGGAAACAAGGAGGCAAAACAAAGATAGGTCTCTTGTGATTTAGTTTTGAACTAGACTGTCTTTTATTTATTATTCTTTGCAATTGAACTAAATTGCTAATCAACAATGTAATGTAATCCTTCAATTTTGTCTACTTGTGATGAATAGATCTGCAACTGCATGCACATTAGAAGGAAGAATCTTCTTTTGTTGATTATGCATGTATCAGGAATAATTTCCTGTAAGAAGAAAATTCTTAATATCAGGTGTTGATACAATCTATTTGCGTACGAATTATGCCGTTGCAAGGACCTATGGCATGAAGATTCCACTGATAAGACTCAAGGGTGGCATCTTGTCTCCTGAGGCTGTCAACTGAGAAGAGAAAACTAGAATGATGTCTTCTTCTATGAATTTTAGGTCTATTTGGTTAGAAATAGTTTTATGTGCACAAGGCATATTCCTTCTATTGGGTGTCATGCAGTTCTTTTAGAGCTGGGAAGTATGGTACTAAATGTCTAGTTCTTCCCCAGAATGTACCACAGTGAGCTGTGCTATTTCCCATTGAGCTTTTATTCAATCATTCCCAACAGCAGCACCCACTACCAGTCAATCGCTGCAGCCTTAATGCAGAGACAAGCAAACACACTTCTTTCCCCAACACCCCGGCCCCACCCCATACAATAAGTTGGACACCTTTTCTTTGGTTACAAGAAAACAGTGTTCTGCAATCTGCATTTGATGGTCGAGACTGTCAAAACTCAATGGCCTGTATGACATGGGTCCTTTCTTATTACTTAACTGGAAACGATGTGGGCCTGAGGTCCAGTTCTTCTGCCCTTTTTTTTTGGTTGGAAAAAGAGGTGTGGTGCTTCTCACTAGAACCAACTATCGTATTTATTTTTTTAATTATTTTTTTTGTACATGGGAGAATTAATTGGTTAATGGTATAAGGATTTGAACCTGACCTTAATTCTAAATTAAAATTTTTAAATTGGTGGATACGAGTTCCACCATAATACTAGGGAATCTCTAAAAGAACTTGGGCACATCATGGGGTGGTGGCGCAGTTGGCTAGCGCGTAGGTCTCATAGCTTCTGAGTTATCCTGAGGTCGAGAGTTCGAGCCTCTCTCACCCCAGATCCTGATTTTTATAGGTTTCGCAGTGTTATTGAACGAGGTTTCTCTGATTCTCTATTAGGAAAAAGTAAAACCACTTACTTTTTGTCCATATTGTGTTGCATTTGCTTTCGTCTTTATGGATCTTTCTCATCACAAACTGTTTTTTGAGTGCCCTTTTGTGGGTCTCTCTACTTTTTGTTTCGTCTCTATGAGTCATGATTATTTATTTCGAAGATTTTATTCTCAGATAAAAAAGGCGAGGGTTAGAATTAGAAGGAATGTGGTCCTTGTTCTTTTCAATTCTCTACACCATTGCCTAAATTCATCCGACTGCAATCATCCTAAACACATTTGATGCAGCCATTATTTTCAAATTTCAAATAGATTCATTAAGAAAAAGTTCTACAATAAATGTAATTGAACAATTCCTTGAATGAGAAATAATAGTCAAAGAAAGTTTTGTGGC